GGAGGAGGAGGAGGAGGAGGAGGAGGAGGGAGAGGTCTGCGTCGGGGCACTCCTCGGGCCCGGGGCCCAAGGGCAGCGGCGTCCGCAGGAGCTCACTGTGCAGCTGCTGCGCCCCGCGCCAGACGCCCTCCGCGACCCTGCCGCTGGACCGGCGCCGGACGAGGTCGCGCCTAGCTCGGGGCCGTCCTCTTCCTCTTCGCTCCTCTTCGCTCCTCCTCCTCCTCCTTCCTCCTCTTCGCTCCTCCTCTTCCTCGTCCTCCTCGCTCCAACTCTTTCTCCTCCTGGCTACCCCTCTTCCTCCTCCTCCTCCTCTTCCTCGTCGTCCGCTCCTCCTCCTCTCCTCCTCCTCGTCCTCGTTTCTCCTCGTTCCTCCTAACCACAAAAAGGTCGCGGGCAAGCTCCCCTAACGGGGCGGCGACACACGTGTGATCAGGTTCCTTCACGCACAGCCTTGCACAGGAACACACACACACAGGATTGCAAGTGCTCCTCACCTCCTCCTCCTCCTCCTCCTTCTCCTCGCTCCTCCCCATCCTTCTCCTCGTTGTCCTCCTCCTCCTCCTCCTCCTCCTCCTCCTCCTCCTCCTCCGTTCCAGGGACAGCGTTAGTGGCCCCTGCCCTGGTGGTTCCAGCTTCCCCACGGGAAGCGCGCACGGCTTCCAGAGCACCCGCCACTAGGCCCAGGACGGAGGACTCTGCGGCCAGCCGGCCTCGGCCCACGTCCGGGGCAACGTGAGGGGGGATAGGTTGAGGGTGGGAGGTGGAGCTACACCTTAGGCGATGCTTAAGAAAACTTAAATTTTCGGCCAGAGTCTCGATTATTCTTAATGCTTCAATGTAAATCCTAAGATTTGAATGGGAACTTTAGGTTTTTATTCAAGTTCTGAGACTATGAATTTCTTAACCCATGATTTCTTAAGCATTTCGCAGGGTGTAGGCTCAGGAGCCAGAAATGTATGAAGCATAACCGTAATGACAAGAGCAAGGATGATCTTAACCCGCGCGGCCCCCGAACCGTGTTTGTTTGCCGTATGTGTTGTGCAGTATCTGTGGTGCCCGTGTTGTGCAAACCATATTGTGCCTTCTATGTGGTGCAGTCGCTTTGATGCAACAGATGTTCTGCATCTATGTTGGGCAATCGATGCTGTGCAGTGAATGTTGGGCAATGTATGTCGTGCAATCAATACCTTTTGGACCAGCGGCAGCCCCACCCCGCAGCCAGCGAGATTCTTTCGTGGCTCCTCTGGCGGTCCTGACGGCAGCACGACTCTGCAGGCTCCGCTCGCGCGCCCGCCAGCTCAAGGCGACCTTTTTGCACCAGCGTTAAGTCGGCCCTGTCCCTCTACAGGAAGAATATTCGAAACTAGTAAAAAAATAGTCTGGGGACTATTCTTCGATCAGTTTTGGTCTATTCTTTGGCATGTTTCGATTCTTTTTCAGTTTTTTGCCCAACATCCGCCTGTAGGAGGACATGCCCGACCTAACACCAGCGAGAACCCCCCCCCGCCGCAGACGCGCAGCTGCAATGCCAGCGGCGCCCGCGAAGACGGGGGGCCACGCGCCTCTCTTCGGCCGCCTCCTCGCCCTCGCCGCCGCCGGCGCCGCCGGCGCGAGCGCGACTGCCGGAGTCCCCAGAGCCGTCCTCGACGGGGGCGCGGGGACGAACGCGAGCCTCCGTGTCCCCGAGGATCGGGTCGCTCGAAAGGAGGGGAACAGACCGTCGGCGGCGCCCCACGGGGGGCGGCGCAGCTGGGGCGGCCTTCTGAGAAGGCAGAGGGGCCTCGTAGGAGGCAGAGGCCTTCTTGGAAGGGCTCGGCGAATTCCGAGGAGGCGAGGAGGAGGAGGAGGAGGAGGAGGAGGAGGAGGAGGAGGAGGAGGAGGAGGAGGACGGAGGATGCGCGGAGAGGAGGAGGAGGAGGAGGAGCAGGAGGAGGAGGAGGAGGAGGAGGAGGGGGAGGAGGGAGGAGGAGGGAGGAGGAGGAGGAGGCGGAGGGAGGAGGGAGGAGGAGGAGGAGGAGGGAGGGAGGAGGAGGAGAGGAGGAGGCGGAGGAGGGGAGTGATGGCAGAGGAGGAGGCGGAGGCGGAGGAGGAGGAGGAGAGAGGAGGAGGAGGAGGAGGAGGAGCTGGAGGAGGAGGGAGGAGGAGGAGGAGGATGAGGAGGAGGAGGGAGGAGAGGAGGAGGCTGAGGAGGAGGAGGAGGAGGAGGAGGAGGAGGAGGAGGAGGAGGAGAGGAGGAGAGGGGAGGAGGAGGAGGAGGAGGAGGAGGAGGAGGGGAGGAGGAGGAGGGAGGAGGAGGAAGGAGGGGACAGGAGGAGAAAGGGGAGGAGGAGGAGGAGAGGAGGAGGAGAGGAGGAGGAGGAGGAGGAGAGGAGGAGGAGGAGGAGGAGGAGGAGGAGGAGAGGGGGAGGAGGAGGAGGAGGAGGGAGGAGGAGGAGGAGGAGGAGGAGGAGGAGGGGAGGAGGAGGAGGAGGAGGAGGAGGAGGAGGAGGAGGAGGAGGAGGGAGGAGTAGGGGGGAGGGGAGGGGAGGGGGAGGAGGAGTGGAGGGGGGGGAGGAGGAGGAGGAGGAGGCGGAGGAGGAGAGGAGGAGGGAGGAGGAGAGGAGGAGGAGGAGGATGAGGAGGAGGAGGAGGCGGACTGAGGACGAGGAGGAGGAGGAGGGGAGGGGAGGAGGAGGAGGTGAGGAGGAGGAGAGGAGGAGGAGGAGGAGGAGGAGGAGGAGGAGGATGAGGAGGCGAGGAGGAGGAGGCGGAGGAGCGGAGGAGGAGGAGGAGGAGGAGGAGGAGGAGGAGGAGAGGAGGAGGAGGAGGGGAGGAGGAAGGATGGGAGGACGGGAGGAGGGAGGAGGAGGGGGAGGGGGAGGGGGAGGACGACGAGGAGGAGGAGGAGGAGGAGGAGGACGAGGACGAGGAGGAGCAGGAGCAGGAGCAGGAGCACGAGCAAGAGCAGGAGCAGAAGGAGGAGGAGGAGGAGAAGGAGGAGGAGCAGGAAGAGGAGGAGGAGTAGGAGGAGGAGGAGGAGGAGGAGGAGGAATATTAATAAAACTAATAACACTAACAAAATTAATACTAATACTAATAATAATATTAATACTACTAATAATATTAGTAAGACGAAGAATTATACTAATAATACTACCAAAAAATATGAGTAATACGACTATGAAGAATACGCATTATATGAAGAAGAAGACTAATACTAATCACACCAATAATAATAATGATAATACTAGTAATGATACTATTAATAATAGTAGCAGTAATACCAATACTGATAATACTAATACTAATAGTACTACTCATACTTATTAGAATAATAATATTACGAATAGTAATATAATAGTAATAATCATAATACTAATAATAGTAGTATTAATAAGAATAATCATAAGGAAAATAATGATACTAATAATATTATTAATAATATTATTAGTAATACTAATACTAATAATAATACTAATAATAATATTAATAATATTAATAACAATAATACTAATAATAGTAATATTAATAAGAATAAGAGGAATAATACGACACATAATAATAATACTGTGAAGAAGAGGAGGAGGGGAGGAGGAGGAGGCGAGGAGGAGGAGGAGGAGGAGGAAGGAGGAGGGGGAGGGAGGAGGGGGAGGAGGAGAAGGGGAGGAGGAGGAGGAGGAGGAGGAGGAGGAGGAGGAGGAGGAGGAGGAGGAGGAGGAGGAGGAGGAGGGGGAGGAGGAGGGGGAGGAGGAGAAGGGGGAGGAGGAGGAGGAGCCTCGCAGAAGGCAGAGGCCTTCTCGGAAGGCCTTCTCGCGGCTTCCGAGGAGTCTCGGCGCTCGCGGGGTCCGACTCCCAGGAATTCCGCGCGGACCTCCGAAAGTTTGTGTTGGTCGAGACAGGCCCAGCTTCTTAGTAGCATTAAGTCGGGCCTGTCCCTCTACAGGAGGAATCTTCGGAAATAGTCAAGAAGAAATAGAATGGGGGACGATTTTTTGAGTATTAGTTTGACCATTTTGGGGTGTTTTTTGAGTTCGGAGGCGGCAAAGAGGGGGGTGATGACCAGGGGGGGGGATATCATGGCGTGGGCCATGATATTTCCTCCCGAGACGTTTTTTGACGGCCCGCGGGGCTTGAAGCCGACCCCCAGAGGGCTTGGACGATGGCGTTTTGGCAGTCTTCGCGGTATTGGGGCGCGGCCCAGTTATAACTGACCGACCTGGACACAATGCGGGCCCGCAGTTGTCCTGGGAGCATCCCAGCGTTGCCGCTGATATTTCCTCAGACCTCATGGCGCCTCTTCTTGTTTCATTACGTCCCCGCCTCCCCCCCTGGGCCGCGCACATGCCGCTGGACATGATTTGCGCCCCCCCTCTTGGACGCCCGCCGCTTGGTCGCCCCGGATGAGAAGCAGGCAGGGCTCCCTGAGCGCAAGCGCTGCTTGGGGAGAAGAAGCAGGAGCACACGAACACCAATGATGACGGGAAGAAGAGAAATCTGTGGAATATTTCGGGTGAGAGGATCGCGAGGTTTTCGGGCGTTCTCATCGGTCCTCGGCGGTCGTCCAGCCTCGGGGTGCTCTTCAGCAGCTGCGCCTCGCCTCGCAAGTGCGGAGAGCGGCCAAGGGGTTGCCCGGATCGTCCCGCACAGCCGCCGGAGACACCCGAACGCCTGACGATCTAGGCTCAGCGGGGGGATGCATCCACCCACTGGGCGCCCATTCATTGCCATCGGAAGCCAACCGCCGAGCTGTCGGCGAGGCATCGCCGAGCCCAGCTCGATGTGCCTCCCCCCCCCTGAGCCGGGCTCCCCCTCCGCGTCCCCCCCCCATGGAGGACGCACGGTGCCTGCTGTGGCAGGGCGGCGAGCTCGGCTGCGGCGCGGTCCGGGACAGGGACGTCTGCCTGAGGACAGGAGGGCGCCTGGCCGCCACCGTGCGCCCGAGGGGGGGACGGAGGCCAGGCAGGCCTGTGACGAGGAGTCGCCTAGAGCTCCCGGGCGCTCTCCGAGTGTTCCCGAGCGCCCTGGAGCGGCCGCGGCGCCCGTTGCAGCATCCGAGCGCGCCAGATCTGAGAGATTTCCAGATTCTTTCTCTTCGATGTTTCTTCGTTTGTGGCTTCGTCTGATGATGATGATGATGAGGAGGAGGCGGAGGAGGAGGAGGAAGAGGAGAAGGAGGAGGACACCAAGTCCGAGCAACGTCAAAGGAGACGGACGAGGAGGAAGAGGAGGAGGAGGAGGAGGAGGCGGAGGCGGAGGGGGAGGAGAAGGATGAAGAAGAGGAGGAGCAGGAGGAGGAGGAGGAGGAGGAGGAGGAGGTTGAAGAGGAGGAGGAGGAGGAGGAGGAGGGGAGGAGGAGGAGAAGTTTGAGCAGGAGGAGGAATAATAAGAGGAGGAGCAGGAGGAGGAGGAGGAGGAGGACGAGGAGGTGGAGGAGGGGGAGGAGAGAAGTTGAGCAGGAGGAGGAGGAGAGGAGAAGGAGGAGGAGGAGGAGGGGGAGGAGGAGACGGCGGAGGAGGAGGAGGAGGAGGAGGAGGAGGAGGAGGAGGGAGGAGGAGGAGGAGGAGAAGGAGGGAGGGCCAGGACCAGCTTCTTCGCCCTGCCGACTTGACCGGGGGCGGCGGGTGAACGCTGGGCCTAGGCCCAAGGTTGCCTCTGGCGGGGGGCCCAGACATCCGATCAACGAGGGAAAATGAAGGAGGGCCTCCTTCCTCCTCCTCCTCCTCCTCCTCTTCTTCTTCTTCTTCTTCCTCCTCCTCGGATGAACCTCTTTGGCACGCTCGACCTCCTCCTCCTCCTCCTCCTCCTCCTCCTCCTCCTCCTCCTCCCATGGCTTGCGTCCGCTTGCGCCTACAGTGGAATCCCATGCCAAGAAACACCCTGCTTGCCTCCAGGGTGCCCTGGGTTTCTTGGGTTTCGACGGTTTTGCGATGGAAAGCGTGACGTTCCCGCACCAAAGGTCAATGTACGTCCTGGGATCTCAGGGTTGGGTTTCTTGTGGAAGGTTTCTTGTGCTCGAGCTCCTACTGCAGTGAAGACGTGGCCTCAGTTGGGCCCCCGTCATTGCATCCCGTCATTGCATTAAGGATGATTGCTCTGGGCTGTTTGGTTTGACACCTCTGCAGGAAAAAATGATTCCCTGGGGTTTTTGTTGGCCCTCCTACCTTAGGTCCCCTCCCAAAGGGTTAGGGGTCCTCTCATTGCTAATCATCCGATGTCTTGACTGCTTCACAACACGGGGCCCCCGGAAGTGCCAACCCTGTCCCCGGAGCCGCCGGCTCGTCCCGAGCCGTTCCCGCGCACCGCCCCGAGGCCCGGCGAGGGCCCCCGAGGCCAACACGGGCAAAAAACCTTCCGTCGTCCTTCCTGCACGGCGCGAGGATGTCCGGGGAGAGTCCGCGGACGACTCGTGAATGCACCGTGCCGCGGCGGCGCCGCCCGAGGCGGCGTCGATCCTCAACGCGGGCACGGTGAGGGTGCCGAGCTCCTCGGCCCGGGGAGCCGGCAAGAACTATGCACCGTGCCGCGTTGGGGCAGGCCCCGAAGGGGTTCCAAAGGTCCGGAGACGTTGGGCCTGCTTTTGCACCACCACCACCACCACCACCACCACCACCACCACCACCACCACCACCACCACCACCACCACCACCACCACCACCACCACCACCACCGCCACCACCACCGCCACCACCACCACCACCATAGTTGGATGGGGAGGGGGTCCTCCTCCTACTCCTCCTCCTCCACCTCCTCCTCCTCCTCCTCTTCGTTCTCCTCCTCTTCGTCCTGCACCTCCTTCCCCCCTCCAACTCATGGCGGTGGTGGAAAACAGGCCCATCACAAAGAGTCGGAGAGGAAGCGAAATCTGCGGAAGCACAAACTGTCGGAGGTCCGCGCGGATTTCTTTGATCGGCGCTGAGACCCCCTCCCGGGCGCGCGGAGCGCGCTGGGGGCGGATCTGGAGGCGCGCAGAGCGAGCCGAGGGGAGGGCCCGCGCCGATTCTCCGACAATTTATGCTGATGCATATCCTTCTTCCTCTGAACATGGCACGGTGCATATCAGCAGAGGTCGAAAGTGGCCAGCCGGGCAAACGTTGCCACCGTCAGGGAGGAGGGGGAGGAGCGCCCGCTGCCAGGGGGGCGGCAGCCGCTCTTCCACGGGAGCGGTCGCAGCCCCCCTCTTGAGAGGGCGCGGATCCGATGCGCAGTCGGAGCGGGGGATGTTGTCGATGGGTGGCCAGCGGTGCAAAGAACAGATGGTACGCCGCGTGGGCGCCGCTCTCATAATTAGGTGGAGGAGGAGGAGGAGGAGGAGGAGGAGGAGGAGGAGGAGAGCCAGCGCGCCCGCCGCCGAGGAGCGCAGACGGCCGGCCGTGGATGCAGTGGCGGGGGCACCGCATCTACGGGCAGCCCTGCGCGTGGTGCGGCGGCGAGAACTGCACGGCCAGCACGGGCGAGCTCTGCATGCCCGCGGACTGGGCGACCATTGGGCAACGGACGGGCCCGTTCTCCACCACCACCACCACCAGAAGTTGGAGGGGGGGAGGAGGAGGAGGAGGAGGAGGAGGAGGAGGAGGAGGAGGAGGAGGAGGAGGAGGAGGAGGAGGAGGAGGAGGAGGAGGAGGACCCCCTCCCCCTCCAACTTATGGTGGTGGTGGAAAACAGGCCCATCAGCAACGTCAAGAGGGGGGGGCGGATGGTCTCGGGGGGGGGAGCGGTTCGGACTCTCGAGGCGCGGGGTGCTCGGGCGCGCTCGCCGCTCCTCGGCGGTCTGCCGGCCTCGGGGGGTGCTCCCCGGCAGCTGTGCCTCGGCGAGAGCGCCCGGGGCGAGAGCTGTGCCTCTACGGGGCGCGAAAACGACCACAGCCACTGCTTTTCTTTTGTTGCCGCCTTCCAACCCGCAGAAACAAAGCAGTGGTTGTGGTCATTGCCGTTGAGCTTGGCACCAGGGAAATGACCACAACCACTGCTTCTTTTTCGGCCGGCTGGAAGGCGGCGCAAACGAGAAGCAGTGGTTGTGGTCATTTTCCCGTCCCGCAGCCTCTCGAGCGGCCTGAGAGCCGGACGTCGAGGATGAGACCGGGGGGAAGAGGCCCAGATTTGCAGTGAGCGGCCTGAGCCAGGGACGCTTACTTTTCAAGAGGGGCTCGGCCGTTCCTATTGGGCCTGCATGCGTCACGTATCGGTCCTCATGCGTTGTGTGTTGTCTATAGTTCCTGATGCGTATCCCTTGGAGAAGAAAAGGGGCTTCGTTCCTTGTGTATCGTTCCCTAGGTCAGGCCAATGACTCTAGGTCACCTAGGCTGTCTCGGTGGAGTGATTTGGGGGAGACTCGGCTCAGGGCTAGGTCAGGGACTTTTTAGGGAATGACTTGGGGGGAATAGGGCGTTGGGGTTAAGGCGGGCATGTCCCTCTACAGGACGAAACTTGAAGAATAGTTTAGAAAATAGTCTGGGGACGATTTTGCTACCATTTTTGACTATTTTTGAGTATTTTTGAATACTTCTTATGATTCGTCCAAAACCCGCCTGTAGGGCGACATGCCCGACCTCAGAATAGAGCATTGGGAGGGGGACAGGCTCAGGGGGGGACGCATCGAGCCCCCATCGTCGATGAAGAAGAAGAATAATAATAGTAATAATAATAATGATAATAATGATAATAATAATGATATGATAAATATTAATAATAACAATATTAATGATAATAGTAATTATAGTAGTATTAATAATATTTAGAATAATATGAAGAAACAACCACATAACCATAAACTTGTGGCGCTCCGCGCGGATTTCCTGTATCCGCGCCTGGCCCCCCCCGGCGGCGCCTCGGGCGCCGCCTCTGGCGCGCTCCGCGCGCCAGGAAGGGGGTCCAGCGCGGATTCAAGAAATCCGCGCGGAGGGCCAACAGTTTATGTTGATGTGGCTGTTTCTTCTTCCACATTCATCGTCGACACGTGCCCGGGCCCCCCCTCCCGCGCATGAGCGTGCGGATCCTCGGGGGGCCTGTCGCCGACGACCCATCGGCGATGCATCGTCGATTCGAAGTCGATGCTGCCCCCCCAATGTTTTTGCCGTGGCATCGACCCCAGGTAGTCTCGACCCGTTCCCGCCGGACCCGCTCTTCGTCCCGAGATGCCCTTGGAGGGCCCCGGGGCCCGGCGAGGGCCTCGCCGCAAAAACGGCCACAAGCCTCCCGCCGTGATGTTTTCACGACGCGAGGGGGTCTGGGATCCTGCTGTTCTCGTCAGCGGCGAGGCGGCGGAATCCGCTCCAGCGTGAAGCTTGTGACAAGGGAGCGAATTGGCCGGCGAGCAAAGAGGGAAGCGGGGCGGCCGGGAGGAGGGAGGGACGCCCAGATGCCGAAGAGTTCGACGATGAGCAGCCGGGCGGGCGGCAGCAGCGCCTGGGATCCTGCAGTCGAGGCGCTGAGCGAAGGGCCGCTCTGGGCTCGGGAGGGGCAAAACACACACACACAGTGTGTGTGTGTGTGTTTTTCCCACAGTGTGTTTGTTGTGTGTGTGTGTGTGTGTGTGTGTGTGTGTGTTTGTTCCCACAGTGTGTTGTTTGTGTGTGAGTGTGTGTTTTTCCCACAGTGTGTGTTTTTTCCCACAGGGTTTTCGGGCCGTTCCCCGTAGTTCTGTCCCGGAGCCCGTGTGTGGCCGAGGCGCGCCGTGGCTCGAAGAGCCCCCCCCTCGCTCCTCGTCCAGCGCTCCCTGCGGTGACGCGATGGCTGCATAGCAACGACGCGCCAACCCTCGGGAGCCCGCCCTGGCGTGCTGCTCCCTCGTCTGCCTCCGAGGGCCCCGGGGCCGCTCCTTTTCGACCCCGGGCCACCTCGGGCCCCGAGCAGAGCTCGCCCTGGCGTGCCGCTCCCTCGTCTGTCTCCGCTGACCCGGGGGCCGCTCCGGTTCGACCCCGGAGCACCTCGGGCCCCGAGCAGGACCACGGCGGGAGGCTCTCCCCGACCCCAGATCCGCGCTACTTTGGCTTTTTTCCCAACTCAAAACTGCGTCGGAAATCCACTTATAAGAGGCCGAACAAGTAGGGCGGAAATTTCTGCACCGGCGGAAATCCACAGACGTAGGGCGGAAACAGCAGCAGAAAAAGCTAGGGCGGAAATTGGCATCAGCGGGGCTTGAAAAGTAGGGCGGGAATTCCAGGCCCTACTTGCGAATTTCCCCAAAGTAGGGCGGATCCGGAGTCAGGGTTCCTGTTTCATCTTCGGCACCTGGGGGGGCCGTGGCTGGCCCTCGCGAGACCGTCGAACAGCGGCGGCCCGAGAGGAGGCGCTGGTCCGGGCGAGTGGGTCCAGACCTTATAGGGGGCCCCGGGAAACGGCAGGGCCGGTGTTTCACCGTTTCCGAACAAGTGCCCCTTCCAAATGGGAACGGCAACAAAAAAACGGCGACCGGGAGCGGCAACAGAAGCACGGCTCCAGGAGTGGAGCCGGAGCGGAAACCTGTAAAAGAACGGCGACGGAACGGGTCAAAAAACGGCGTCGGAACCGGCAAAAAAACGGCAAAACGGAACCGGTAAAAAAAACGGCCTTGTCGTTTCCAGGGCAGGTCCAGACCCTGAGATCCGACGTAGCGGAAAAATTGCAACATCGTAAGAAATCCCGCCCGGAGCCTTATGCCCCATCGTTCTGCGTCATTTTCCGAGCCGGATCGATTTGTGAGGGTCCTGGGGCGCGAAGACATGCGAAAACACCGGGTGTAAAAATCAGAGCGTGAATTACCTACCCCGCTTTCGCTTCCAGGCAAAACCAAGTCATACCACGCGCCTCCTCGTCAAGCGGCCTGACCAGTACAGGCCGTAGTTTGGCATCGCTTGGTATCTCTTGGAATCGAGGGTGGTCAAAAGCGAGGTATGTTTGTTTGCCCCCTAAAAAGTTTGCAGCGCCAGGATCTCAGGGGACCGTGGGGGGTCAGCGTCATGAAAGCAGGCCCGACGTCGGGGGGCTGGTGCAGCCGCGCTCCGACGGATTCCCCGCCGCGGCGCGGCCCGTGGACCTGTGGCGTTTTTTTGCTCCCCCGGAGAGGGCGCGAGGACAGCCCAGCGGCGCGCACCGCAGGGCGCGATCCGCGAAGTTCGGTGACCTGGGTTTAGTCGGGCGCGTCCCTCTACAGGACGAATGTTTCAAATATTCAAAAATACACAAAACAAAAATCAGGGGACGATTTGTCTACCATTTCTGTATTTTGTTGTTTTTTTTTCCGTCCAAGACCCGTCTGTAGGGGGACACGCCCGACCTAAACCTGGGTCTGAGCCTACTCCCCCCCAAGGTCCTCGCCCTCTGAGATCCTGGCGCCTCAACTTTTTCCAAGCTGGGCGCTTTTCCGCTCCATTTTTTTCGGGGCCCTGGACCTCCACAGATCGACCCGGCCCGAAGGCGCAGAAAGATGGGGCCCAGGGCTCCGGTCGTGGTTTCTGCGACGGTGCATGTCTGTGCAGCGTCGGATCTCGGGGTCGTCCGGTCTTCGGGGCACGGCTCCGCTCTCCGGCGGCCGTCCAGGACGATCCGGGCGCCCCGGAGCGCGCGCTCGGCGAGGCGCGCGCTGCCGGAGAGCACCCCCGAGGCCGGAAGGCCGCCGAGGACCGTTGAAGACGCCCGGAGTGCTCGCGCCTCGACCCCGAAGCGTTCCCCCTCGCGGGTGAGCGGCGGATGGAAGCGGGGTCGTCTTCACCGACGCGTCAGCGTCCCGCGTGAGGTCGCGCGGAGGCGCCCCCGTGTCCAGTGTGGCGTGCCGCGCCGGCGGCTCGCGTAGGCCACCGCGTCAGGTCGGTGTGTCATCTCGCGCAAGGCCCGTTTCTGACCAAGCCCTTGCAAGCGGGGCCTTTGTGAAGGGGCTGGCAGCTGAGGGTGCGTTTTCGATGGGAACTTCGAGATATTGTTTTGCCGCGCGCAAGTGCGAGGTGAATCCCCCTGCCCAGCGGCATGACGATGTATCGACGTTTTTGTCGCCGCGATGTATTACGCACTAGTGCGAGGTAAATGCCCTGTCGCCCCGTGCTCGCTTGAAGAGGCCCCTTAGCTACCGCCCCGTTTAGTACGTGCCCCTGTTTGTCGGTCGTGGCCCTCCGCCTCGTCTCTGTCTGGGTTCCTGGGTCCGTCCCTCGTTCCCTTTTCGGTCCCCTTCGGGCCCCTTCGCTCTTCGTCGGAGCAGGAGTGTTCGGCAGACGTTCACCCGCGCGCAAATAAAATAAAACAAATAAATTGCAGGGTTCTGGTCTTATCGCCGCTCAGGTCGCTACGCCATATCGTCAGGCCACCGCGTGAGCCTCCGCGTCAGGTCGCTATGCCATCTCGCGCGAGACCCAGAGCCCCGACGTCGTGGTTTTCAAGGTCGACCCCCAGAGGTCTGGACCCCTTCTGGCGGAAAACTTCCCGTCGGGCTTTTTTCGCAGCGCGAGGGGGTCTGGGAACTTCTGAGCCTCCAGCGAAGCCCACGTCCGCCGCCCGCTCATCCGACCCACGGGGAGGGGATGAGCCTCGTCCTCCTCCTCCTCCTCCTCCTCCTCCTCCTCCTCCTCCTCCTCCTCCTCCTCCTCCTCCTTACCCTCCCTTCGGGCACGCTCGACCTTCTCTCCTCCTCCTCCTCCTCCTCCTCCTCCTCCTCCTCATCCTCATCCTCATCCTCATCCTCATCCTCATCCTCCTCCTCCTCTTCCTTCTCCTCTCAGGTGAGGGGCCGGCCTCGGATCGAAGTGGCCGGCTGCGGCCTGGCGCCCCGCGCCCGCGCGAGAGCGTCCGCGGAACGGCACGGCGGCGGCCTGCTTGCGGCTCCGCCTGCCGGACCAGCGGCGTACGGGCTCGTGCAGTTCGAGGGCCCTGGCCGCTCCGGCTTCGCTTGCGGCGCCGAGGGCGCCGCGGCATCCGCGAAGGTTCTCCGCCGAGGAGGAGGAGGAGGAGGAGGAGGAGGAGGAGGAGGAGGAGGAGGAGGAGGAGGAGGAGG